CCTCAGTTGATCTCAATAATAAATGACTGTTCTATCATGATATTGTACCATGCATCAATTTTATATGGTTATATTGTCTTTTTTTTCATGTGTGGTCGAAGGGGGGACACAAACGTAGTTATTTACTGGTTAAAGACCACAATATTAGTGTCAAGTCCACTGTATAATAGTATAGAGCAGATGACCTCAATTAGGCATAACTGTCAGCCGGTCTATTTCCCTAATTATTTGCGATCTCCTGTGTGTCCGCATTTCTTCTGTAAATCATGATCTCGATTTACACCTTAAACATATGTGTGTGTGTGTGTACACGTGTGTGGTGTGTCATATCTGCATGATTGTTTCGTGTGTATCTGTTTGGTGTTTTGTGGTGTTTTCTCCTTCACTTAACCCTGGATGGATGGTAGCCCATCAGGGCTCTTGTTGAGATTTTATTTTTATATTTACTCACAATTTTTTTTTTTTTTTTTTTCGTCACAGTATAACATATGGAAGACCAAACAGCTCTTTATTCGTTATTCTTAGTTCCTAATTCATAGTTCTTAATTCTTATTTCTTCATTTGGTGTCGTATTTTGACATTTTTATACTAAAATTAAGATTTGTTGTATATAATGATAAAATATCTTTTAGAAAATCAAAAAATTATATTTACATTTCATCAGAAACATACAACGAAAAACCATTGCAATCTCGAACCATAAAATTTCCATATACAAATCTCCAATCTTTCAAAAGAATTATCAAAAAACATTTCTCCAAATTCATTTAACCTGAATATTTTGACGACAGAGGACGCCTATTGGTGGACTGTCAAACGGCTCTACCAAAAAATAAAACTGTCGCTGCTACTGCTAATATACATTTATTGTTGCGATCTTGTTGTTGCCTTTTGCAGTCTTGTATGGTTTCGGTTCTGTTATAGTTTTGTCTATCATAATATTATAGTTGCTTCACATTTTGTTATGTTGTATTAGCTTGATAACATTGAGAGAATACTCTTTGAAACGTGGCCTGAATAAATCAGTAGCTATTTTCCATAAGTTTGGTCTTCCATAATAATGTTTACTAGATTATTTGTAAGACTGCTTTGAAAGTCCTTTTGACAATTAATTAGGTCAAATAATGGAGTTGTTTCCCTTTTTATAAGCCACCTAGATTCTTTTTTGTTATTTTTACAGTCATAGAAGTCTCGTATTATAAACTTTTCTGTTTGGTTAACTTTATAAATAATACTCTATTATTTCTCTAAAGTGTAGTGTGTGAATTAGTTTGGGTTAATTACAAACATCCATGCAGAATCGACAAAGTATCTCGTACACAATAAAGAAACAGAGTATACGCACGAGAACTCTCTAATTCGTAAAGAGTAAAAGTAGTCTTCGCCTGTAATGGCTGTCGCACTTAATCAATATTTTTGTGGAAATACTCTTACAAATTGATAAACACTGTTGTTATTTGAGAAATAAATAAATGGATAACGGCAGTTTTATGTCGAAGAATGATTGAATATGGATTGTAAGTTTGTTTCATGGACATTTTGTTTTATTCGTGAGGCCGTAATTGTCCCAATTTTGTTTAGTGTTGTCAAAACATTTATCTCGTCGAATTCGTTTCGATGAAAATAAAATTTGGGTGGCTTATATTTCTATTTTTCTAAACATATGTTGATAGACCTATATATTGGCATTTATACCGCACAATTTTTATATTCTTGTTAAATTAATGAATCGCGAACGTGGTACTACTTTCTCTTACAACCGTGTTAATTTAAAGCAAAACAGTTTCATTTCGTTGAGTGTATGATGGATGGAATGTAGATAACAAACCTTAATCTCTCAACCCTCTGTGTTTCGAGATAAGACATGAGCCCATTACCTATAACGTTGCAGCTCCGGGAGCGATTCACACCCGGCATTTTTAAACAAAATTGACAATAGTTTTAATCAAAACAACGATTGATTATTGTTATTTATAATATTTCTACAATATTTCTAAGCATATAATCCTACCTGAAACGGGTACAAATCGTCGTTTTTAAAATCGAGGCGTTAAGCCGTTACTAAGACCGCCATCTTTTTAAACGATACGCTGTCATCATGAAGGCGGGGCTAAATATAAGGCTTTTATAACAGCCAATCAAAAGGACAATCGAAAGCACAGTAACTATGAATGGATTTCGATGGCGGTGAAATGTCAGACAAAAACAACGCTTCATTAATTTAAACGCGAATATTTGGAGTTAGGCGACAGTTGTGCCACTACATTGGCCTCTAAGTTTAATTAATCATAATATCATAAACTTATCTATTTTAAAGATGTTACATGCATTAATAAAGAAATTGAGTTTGCCACTTGGAACTAAAGGCATCCAATCGTAGCTAAAAACAAACACATCAGTATATCTCACCGTTTTTAGCTAAGTTCTCGTAGCTAGATGGAATGCTGCAGCATTTATAAGTCAAATAAGTGTAATATAAATTAAATTTAAGGCTATTTGGAAATAAACAATTTTATCTTTGTTTTATTTTTCCTACATTATGACAACTTTCTTTAACCCTATATGCTTAAATAAATTATAAACTTTGTATTGCACATAATTCATCTTTTTTATTCAATAATGAAGCTGGAAATAAACAACCTGTCATACACAATCCACTTAATGAACTGATTCTCCCAACCTTTCTGGCATATTTGTCTATTTGCTGCATTTTTGGAATATTTTTGGTACATATTACATAATAAAAAAGTAAAAAAAAAAATTAAGCTATAACTTTAGAGTAGTGGTAAAGGTACATGTATATCTAACATTTTGTCATGTTAAACTAAAATAGATATTTCCAGACCTGAGGCCATACGGTTCACTGTGGCCAATATAGAGTAACAATAGTCTGCACGGGAGAAGGTTTGGCACCTGACATTTATAACTTTGTGCCAGGCATGTAGAAATATCAAGAAAGTGACAGAAAAAAAAATGTGCTACCAAAATAAAATGAAAGGCATCTGACAAAGTGACGGACAAAACCCGAATTTGTGCCTGATTTTTTCAGTGAGAGGTGCAAGTTATTTCCAGTCTTGTTAATCATGATAGTAGGCCTAATAATAATAATAACTTTATTTGGGAAGGGTAAAGGATCAGATTGCTGAAGCTTTTCTACAATCCTGCCCTTCATGACTAGTATTTGATAATTGTACCAGGTACATTGAATTGAATTTATTACAATGGATCTTGTTTACAGAAATGTATATCAAATATAAGCCATCACTTTGTTTAAAATTGTCATATACTACAGTATTTAGTCCATAAAGGTTCAGGCCTAATACATGCAGAGGTCGCAGTGGATCAATTTCGAGTTGCGTAAAAATACACAGACATTCAAAATTTTGCGTTTTTGCTCTCTACATCTGTGTGATTTAGAGTATCTCAAAATAATCAATAGAAGCAAGTAAAATTGTTACGTGAACAACCCTATTTAAAGTGTTCTTACTTCACTGATATTGTATTTAGTCTAATGACGACATGTAAGGTTGACAGCATATCTATGGTTGACGGCACAGTCATTTTAATCTTTCACTTCGACAGGAAGTAAAGAGCAAACTATCGCTATGAAAGCCCATATTTGATTGGCTGAATGTAAACTGTTTATCGTGTCATAGAAAATCCAAAGTCTTGTATGAAATGCGCTTGATTGCTTCCAGTGTGGCAAAATAAGGGGTCTCAGAATAGCTACGTATAGAAGCCTTACTGCCATGAACTTAAAGATTATGAACAGAATAAGAGGAAATATAAAAGCCTACGGAGACTACATGCAGTAGCGGTGTGTAAATGCCACGTGAAGCACAGAAATTGATGACGTAGTGTACAAACTACGAAATAGAATAATCTAATTAATCTCACGTCGGGGAAATTTTCTGTGTGTAAATTATGCAGCGTCTGTCAATATTTGCGTTTATTTTGAAAAAAATGTGTGAAAAACGCAGATTTTTGCATGACTGCAACCTCTGAATACATGTAGGCTGTGAACTAATATATTTGTCAACAATAATGTTTTTAAACATACCTACCCAAAGGGCTAGAACCATTTGTAGTTGCTTGCTTTAATTGCTGCTAGTGCCCATAGGATAAAAGCAAACTATGAACTAACTATGGACCAGGAACCGAATATGACGCCATCTTGGAATTGTGACGTCATATCAAAAATTTAAGTCAGTCAGTCAATGTGCAAATGTCCAAGGAAAAAGGATGCCAAGTTTCATGTCGATTGTGCTTCAATTTGCATAGCCCTTAGGAACAGTATCACTTGGATTCCAGTCCCTGGTCCAAAATTTTTGTTTCAACATGTAATCTTACTTGTATCAAAATCGGGTTTATTTCCTTGATATGTTGACAAGTAATATCTATAGGTAAAAGAAAGTTGAACAATAATGTACTTGAACTTGTCCCTAACCAATACAGATTTTTATCTCAATTTACTGAATTCTGTGTCAAGTCAACCAAGCGGAGACCATAGTCACATCCAAAACCTTCTTGTGGAAATTTGTAATTGATCTGTATATGCCGGTCAGGAAATATCCATTTTAGTTTTACATGCACCAGACAAAATGTCAGTACCTACTGGACTAGTACATGTAGGGCATACTCTGATATTTTGAACTTTATCCATACCCCACCAAATTTGTGCCAAAAAATATGAGAGGCACCAGAGGGATTGTGTCTGACAAAAACTGAATTTGTACCTTTCAAGTGTCCAAAATAAAATGAATTTATTTGTTGGTTTCTTATATGAGCCAATTACATGATCATACGAAATTTCATATTATAAGTCCAATCAGCTATGATCTGTCTTCATTAGAGGGATTGGTGCAGAAAAATAGGGTAACCTCCATTTCATTTCAATCAGCTCTGAATCTTGATTGATTTGACACAGAATGAATAATTTTTTTTTTTTTATCCACCATCCGAACATTGTGTAACCTTTCTTCTGTTGCCTGTTCTTTTAGCGTCTACATCAGGAAACGATGCCTGTTACCCTCCTGATGTAAAATCCGGATTTGAAGAATTATGTCCAGTTTGCGGTGATAAAGTCTCGGGGTATCATTATGGACTTCTAACATGCGAGAGTTGTAAAGGTAAGATGGATGATAATTAATGTATGTTGTATGTTCAAAATGATGTCAACAGTAGGACGTTGAACTCCATTTCATTTCATTTCAAAATGAGGTCATGTGTTGTCAAATTTGTACAAAACGCATGGGTAAGTACCTACTCTAACCTGTGACAGTGGGGTTTGTGTGGGGGTGGGTGGGTGGTGAATGGTCGAACTTGCGTGCTGTGGTTTTGATCTTAAGGGGGATCACAGTGGCAAAGTGGGTAAGACGCAGCCTTGCTAGACTGGAGGTCGAGTTTTCGATTCCCTGCATTGGCCGAGAAAGCTCATCCAGATATTTATTACAAACAAACACATCCACCCAAAAGTGATAAATCACTCCCAATGACTACATTTTCTATTAAAAATATAAATGCACTTTCAGAAATGTTATTTTTGATCACCTCAAGTAATTTACAATGTGACAGTTGAAACCGACATCAGTGGCGAACTTCTAACTAATTCTCATTAAAAACGAAGTAATTTTAATGTTGATAAAAAGCTGTCATTAGTGTCAATCATTCGTCACATTCCCAATTTTTCCCCTGTGATTTATTTCGATCAGAATAATGCATACATGTACAATGTACGAAAATATAATAGAACTTATATCATGTCTTAAATAAATCTAAATTTCAAGTTTCTATATGTACATACCGGTATGCAATCCTGGAGATGACGGACATAAGGCACCTGTCACAGACTTTGTCATGTACAAATTATCCCATAAGGTATATACATGTCTGGAGTAAGGCACTTGTCACAAACATTGTCAGACACAAATTATTACACAATGTATGATGTAATAAAAACATACTGTGTTAATTTGTGTCTGACAAAGTCTGTAGCAGGTGCCTTATGTCTAGGCTTGCATGTAACAACATCCGTCATCCGAGTTTAGATTTTTTGCGCTATCACTGTCAGCCCCTGGTGGAACCATGACATAACATGTTCGTCCTATGAATGAACAGGTTTGAGTTTAGAATAGATTCAATTTATTTTGGATATGGTTTATAATGTAAGATTATGCTAAAGTCTTAACGCAGGCGATTGAACATTTTAGCCAAACATTCATGAAAATGATTGTTCCAATCAATTTGTTCGCTGTCTGCAGGTTAAAAAACCACGAACAAATATGTTCTGAAAAAATGTTTGTGAAATCAAACTTGTTAGATATTTGGAAATTATACCTCAGTCAAACATTTGTCTGTCCACTGTCTGAGTTAAAGCCGAACATTCCAGGAACATTTTTTTCCATGCAGCACCAATCCGCTATTACATACATATCAAATGATATTCAAAATGGTGGCCATACTATATACCGGAAAACACCATTTTTTACTGAATGCCGGAAAACACCGGAAAAATACTAAATACCGGAAAACATCCTAAATACCGGAAAACAACCTAAATAGGTAACCCGGAGCCTGGTCCTCTGTGTGGAAGGCGCAACTAGGCCAACTCCTCCCTAGGTAACAAAAAAATTGCATCATAAAACAGCAAGTATCATCAAAAGCGAGTTAATAAATCACTGAATAATTCGAGTTGAAGTTCCAGGTTTAACCGTTATGTGTCATAATCAAACGATATGGATGCCACGCAATTCTTGGACAGGCTATAATCTGAAAAGTGTCTATCCTTTCCAAGAGCTATCCATCTCGTTGGAAGGCCTAAAAATCTACTTGTTTCTGAGCTTACTTTCATTCCAGGATCAAATATAATCACTTGAATCAAAATAATATTCAACATATTCCATCATATTCCGAGGGCCGCACACATGATTTTTTTCTGGATTACTTTTCGAGCTTTTTTCCCCAACTTGTTGACCAGTTTCCCTTGAGAAAACCCCAACTTTCGCCCAATTGTCCATGAGAAAAGTACATATTCTATCTTACTACATTGACAGGAAGTGGTAAGCTGGACGTCTGTAAAAAGGGTTGATCGATAAATTTTCAAGGAAGCAATTGTTGTCTTTGTTTGTGAAATAGAGGACTCTAGCCGATAAGGCTACTTTCTCCCAGAGAACCTCAGGCAACCAATTTGTTTTATGTACTACTATCGTAATAAAACATTACTATGTTAACCACTTCCTGGTGGCTGAAGACTTACACTGAATGCGTATTCGGAAAAAAATGTCCCCGAGAAAATGTTTTTTCCGACAATCGATATTCGAGATGTCTTCTGTTGCACAAATTATACTGCACTATGTAAGAACTTGCATCCTTTGATCTGAAGATTGTAGATGGAAAAGTATCATTTGCACTATTTCAAAGTAAACCTGCATTTTCGTATATCATCCCGTAATTTGTGATTAATGACAATGACTGTAGAAATAATATGGCTTGAGGAACGAGAGATCTATGTTCGTCACGTGATTGGACAATTCCACCCCTGTCCCACTCTGACGATGATCCCTCCCGGATCGGCGCGGCGCGCTCTCTATAAAAAAATCTCGGGCACAGTTTACTCTTCTAAGTTTTCCGGTCGCTATTTAGTAACCCAGAGTTTGGTCCTCATGTGTGGTTTTGGACCAGGTGAGCGCTGATGAAATAAGTTCATTAACATACAAGCGAGCGATCGCCTACGGTCAAAGAAAAATTTCTTTTCAGATTTTTTTTTAACAATATCTTCTCCAAAATTTCTCTAAAAAAAAATTCTAAATTTTTTTCCAGTATTTTTCTCTGTAAAATTATTTTCTACGGAATGTTTTTTTGTAAAACCAATTTTTGGAAAAATTTGATTTTTATTTTTGTGACAGAAAATTTTTTTCGCCCAAAAAAATTTGGAGAAAAAAAAATCGGATTTTTTGCCGGTTGTACATGATAAGGAGAAGGGTCACTTGTCCAACCTCGTGGGTTTTCTCCGAGTCCTCCCGTTTCCTCCCACTGCTAAAGACCCCTACGCGTAAGCAAATTATTGACAAAAAACAGAACCATTTGTTAGTCCCGAAATTACCTAGTTTGTGTGGATGTTGAACTAGATGATGTTAATAGTTGCAATAGTTGACATAGTCTCGAATTATTGACACAAAACAGAACCATATGTTAGTCCCGAAATTACCTAGTTTGTGTGGATTTTGTTAAACTAGGGTTGTCACGATTAATCGGTTTAGTCGTAGTCGATTCGGTTTCTAGCTCAAACCGATTCACATTTTGAAAAATCGGTAGTCGTTTCATCCAATTTATATTGATACAATTACACATAATGTTTGACTTTTACTGTCTGCTTAACACACTACTGTACTGAATTGCTGCATATTAAAACCGTATTGAAACTACGTCTTTTAAGGCTCAATACAGAAATTCCCATTTACAGTGACACGAACTCGATGTCACATGGAATTCTTCGCCTTCCATATTAGGAATGGCTTACTACGAAATGTGTAAAATGGTTGATTTTGGCGCGAAATAGCTGTCAACAGCCACGTACGCCAATAACAGACATGATAATATCACAGAACTTTATAATACATGGACTGAATGCATGCCGCACGAGACAGGGAATTTGGCGATGTTACAAGCGATAAACTACCAATGTAATTTTGATAAAGTAATAGTTTTGAAAGAAGACAATTCTCCAACAATATAATCGAAAGATTCCCTCACAAATTCCTCATGTATAAAATAATTTTAAATCCAGTTGTATTTTGTTATTTAATTCACAATCAGAATGTGACGTTACTGTGTCCGAGACGCGAATAAACAAACCGGACATTACCAGTCAGGAGGCTCTTCATTTCTCCTCCCTCGGCATATGTTGCTGCCTTTCTTAAAGACACATGTTTTTGTTTTATTTGTACCGTCTTGGTCAGGTTCTCTTGTTGTTTTCCGTCAATATGATTATCGCTATATATGTTAAAACATTATGTATGGGAATTGTTGTACTAGTGAATTGTAATCTATTGCCAGTATTGGATTTTTAAATAGCAGTTCTGTGGAGGTAAGTCAGAACGCGGGGATGTCTACTCTTACTCCGTCCAATGCGTAACTAAATATCAAAACTAGTGACTTGGTACATGTTGTTTATTGCCAATTTAAAAAATGTATTCCAACATCTCTTTAGCTCAAAGCCAAAGAAATGTATTAAAATAATATACGGTCGGCTAATCATTGCTCACGCATATCAACAATCACAAGGGAAAACCCCTGTAACGCAATACGGACAATGACATTATTAGCCAACGAAAGAAACATTTATTTTACATTATTAGCCAACGAAAGAAACATTTTTTTTACATTATTATAGAATTTATACGGCATCCGATTAATCTGCACCGATACAATTTTTGGCTACCCGATTAACTGATTCAAGAATTTTGTAATCGTGACAACACTATGTTAAACTAGATGATGTTAATAGTTGCAATAGTTGACATAGTCCTGATTTTATCCATTTTTGCGTTTAATCATCAACACATGAACAGCAGAATGGATTCCAATGCAATGAAAATCGGACACATAATCGGACTGAAAATTTCAGTCAAATTGCATCACTCTAAGCCAAGAAAACCTTTTTTTAAAATCACTGTATCCTCGATTGTCATTATTACCACTGTCAGAATAGTTGACAAAGTCTCAATTATCCATTTTTATATGCCCACATTTTCATGTGGACGAACATGTATTATGCTATCGCCCCTGTCCGTCGTCCACAATTTGTGGACACTCTACAGGTCACAATTTTTATCCGATTTTGACGAAACTTGAAATATAGGTCTATCTCCTAAAGATCTTGGTTCCTTTTGATATTGGCATGTATCAGACCATAACTTCATGGATTATGGCCCCCTGATGTACGAAAAATCACGTTTTTAGTTTGGGGACACTCTAGCGGTCACACTTTTCACACGATTTTGGTGATACTTGAAATGCATGTTTATAACCCAAAGATCTTGGTTACTTTCGATATTTGCACATATCGGATTATAACTTACTGAATTATATGACCCTTGATTGTACGAAAAATTGTGTTTTTAGCTCGTGG